TCAAAGCAGATCTTCCTCCGATTTCCAGTCTTTATTAGATGGACAGTTTTCAGCTGCTTGCTTTCCATGTGTGTCCTCAGCAGGAACAGCCCTTCTCCCCCTGCACTACGTACCCTGGGTACCTGGAGAGCATCCACATCCTCTCCAGCCTGCCTGGCAAGGCTGTACAACCAGAGATGTGCGAGGCAGCATTTCTTTCCTTCTCTGAGCTTTAAGTCTGTTGTTCGCTTCCCTAGGTGACCCTGGATCCTCATATGAACAAACAACAACAAAACAAGCAGAAAACTTCTGCTTTACCTCTCCTTACCTCAGATCCCCCCTGCTGAAGGCTCCACCTCACTCCAGCATTGTGCAGTCCTGCTACTCTCATCCCACTGTACCTTCTCCCCACATGGGGAGATTTTGCCCCTGCAGACTGAGTTGGGCAGAGCTGATTCCTGTAATATTTTATTGCAGGGTAAAGTGGTGGAGTACCCTTTATATGGTGTTTTGAAAGGAAATTGTACAGGAACAATGTCCCGGGCAGTGTGGCTATTGAAAACCCTTCACAAAGGGAGTTTGCCACAAGAGGAAAAGCAGCTTAATCAGTTGAACTAATCACTGTAGGTGGCTGAGAGTCCCTAAAGGTCTGTAAAATCAAATATAAAGGGAAAATAAATATATCAGCTTGCTTATGCTCCTCAGCGGAGCTGCCAGTGGATCTGGGATGCTCCCTGCCTGGCCCTGAGCTCACAGTGACCATCCTTTGGGCTGTCCCCATGTAGGACCATGCTCGCCCCAACACGAGACCCCAGCTGGGGTCACGTGGATGAGCCCTTGGGATGTCCCTCAGCGAAGCGGTGGCCACAGAGGAGACTCAGATTGGTGTAATGGGGCTTTGGACTATGAGTGGAGAGGCAGGGCAGGGGCGCCCACCCTGCTACAGTCACCCCAGATGACCCTGTTTTCAGCATGGGCGCGAGCAGGAGGGGTTAGCGGCGCTTACACAAGCCTTGTGCTGCAGGAAGAGGAACCTGTCCCTGACAGCCACCCATGGCTCTCCGGGGAAGGAGAATATTTCTGCCTTCCCCAGCTCTGAATCTCATTAAAACAAAACAAAATGAAAAAGGTAAAAAAAAAAAAGCCAGACTGCTTTTTCCTGATCATTTAAGTGGAAAGCCAAGTTAACGGTAGGAAGCAAACTGGGACAGTGCATGAGAAAACTTGGGGACATTTCTGTAATCCTGTTATCAAAACAATAAGTATTTGGGGCATGCTGAGGAGAGATGGGGAAAGCTCCCACCCCTTTGCTTCATATATCAGCCAAAAGGGGCTGAGTCTCTGCTCCAGCTCCTTATCCCCACGCAAGGGCTTTCTGAAGGATGGCAGAAATGCTCCTCCATCTGAGAGGAGAAGCCACTGCTGCAGGTGACAGTCCTCCAAGGACTCCAAGGCAGGTTCCTGCAGAACAGCCCCTCATTGCTCTGGTCATTCCAAAGACGTGAGACACTCCCATGCTGCGTATGGCGGAAGCACAAAGGATCCACACTTACATGTATGTTGAAAATAGGAACTTGGATACCTTTTGGAAATAGGAGACTGATTAACTCTGAGGCTTTTACACCATCCTCTCCAAGCCATGGGGTTGTGTTCCCCTCTAACGCTCTCCTGTCCTTTTCCACCAAAAGCCCTGTGAGGTACCTGCCAGCATCCTACGCACACATGAGGAATTCCTTCCACTAAGGAAATCAGCCTGATCTGACCTTTGAATCGAACAAGATGTGATTGAACCAGTGTGATTACAATGGTGCAAACTTTTTAAGAGTTCCCCAGCAATCTTTTCCTGGTCCTTAGGTGACAAAGAACAATTTCAGCACCCCATTAATCAGGAGACCAAGAAGCAGGTACAAACTCACCTGCTTTGAGAGAACCCCTCCAGAAACCCATATATTCCTTGTGTATCCTAACCAGACCAGGCAAGGTTTTGTACCACTCCTTTAACACTGGCCCAAGCGGCGTAACACAAACTTTTGTGAATGAGCCTCAGGGCCATGGCATTTGGCCAGCTGGACCTCCATCACCAAATACATCGTCCTAGGAGGTCACAGAGACCAGAAAAACCCCGTGCAACAGCAAGCTGACTTGCAATGCTTTGGTAGGTGTGCTGGGTCTGTCTGGGATGCACCTTTCCCTGCAGCAGCCCACACAGTGCTGTGCTCTGCACTCGTAGCTGGAACAGCACTGATATCACTCCAGAGTTGTGTCTATTGCTGCATAGTGCTGGCACAGCATCAGGACTCCTTCCAAGCCCCCAAGAGCCAGCAGGCTGGGGGTGGGTGAGTGATGGGGAGGGGACATCGCCAGGGCAGCTGACCTAAACCAACCAAAGGGATACTCCATAACACCTGATGTCACACTCAGCAATAAAAAGGAGGGCTCTCGTGGGGGAGGGGGCTGTCCTCCTGAACAACCGCTATCCGTTTTGAGGCCCTGCTTCCCAGGATATGGCTGAACATCGCCACTGATGGGAAGTAGAGAATAACTTTTTTTTCCCTTTCTCTCTGTGCTTCCACACAGCCTTGTGTTTGTTTGTTGTTGTTGTTGTTGTTTTTCATTCCATTTACCTTTAAATAAATAATTTTCATCTCAAACCACGAGCTCTTTGAGTCATATTTTCTCCCCCTTCCTCTTTGAGGACAGAGGAGTGAGAGAGTGGCCGTGGTGGAACTCAGCTGCCCACCTGAGTAAAACCACCACAGTAGATACTTAAGACGTGGTGGTTTTGGGAGCTTTTTGAAAACCAGTGGACACAACTCAAAGCCCACCTTCCCAGGGAGACAAGTCACTAGCAGAGAAGCAGCAGGTTGAGATAGGATGGAGGAGAGGACTAGAGGACTCAAGAAATGGGTCTGTTGTGCTCTGTATCCCAGTCCTATGGGACGCCAAACCAAATTGCCTTTAGTGTTGTTTACGTAAGGTGGGTCTTGTGGTAGCAAACAGTGGGTCAGCATCTGGGACAGTAAAACCTCATTGGTACTCAGCACTTGCTCACATGGGCATCTACAAAAAACGTGTCCCCACTGTGCTCCTTCAACGATCCCATTAAGCAGTGATGCCCACCGTCGCTCCCATCCAACACAGAAGGTGGCACACCTCATGAGTCCAAAATGATAGAGAAAACACTGGGTGTGGGATTTCTGCCATGTAAGGTGGGGAAAGAAATTCCTGGTGTTATATATGGAGTGGTAATTCGTGTCGAGAAAATGGTTGATATTAATAAAGAAGGGGGAGATTTGGGAATGTGGCCATGGGGGTTGGAAAGCCCCATTGTTGATGATAACATCAGACTCTTAACAATGAGTCCATCAGGAATGTAAAAGAGTTTAGAGGGAACAAAGAAGGGTGATTCAGGAGACTCCATGCAGTCTCTGGTTGCTTGTTCTCCAGCCATTAAGGCATGGAAGTTTCTGGGTGTTTGCTGTTGTTGTTATATTCAAAGTTGTTTGACCAATAAAAAAATATTTTGAAAAGAACTGCTGTGGAGAGAAGGGTATAAGAGGGGAGACTGTCATTGAGATAAAAAAAAAAAAAGGCAACACAATAAAATGAAGTTATGTCATCAATAAAGAAGCAGAAAGAAGGAATGAAAAGGAACAGGCTAGCAGAACGGAGACCAGGACGGGAACAGGCACTTTGATCGCCTCATGAAGATGGGTTCGGCCAAACTCAGCAAACCGCTCAAAGAATCTCGTACACTAAGTCGCTCGTACAGAAAGTTGATGGAAATGGGCACACCGGAGCTGCGAAGAAGCTTGAGCTGAGAGAAGCAGACCCGTGCACACAACTGCCCCTCGCTGGTAAGCAGTTGCACATTATGGGGAATCATACGTCCTTAGAAAAAAAGACTGTCCTGGTAACCTTACAGCTCATTCTGCTTATTAACAATCGGACCTTTTATACCTTTTATAAGTATAAATATTACTAAATTCAGATTGAGTTGAGACTTCATTTATAACAAGAGGGATATTTATACCACCTGTGCAGCAACACCAGTGATGAAACAAAGCCTTTCTCGAGCAGCAAGATGTCTGGGATATTAAGATAATAGCACTGCAATAAAGTGTGAAAAGCTTTGTAGCTTTGTAACAAGTTTGTGCTCCAATACAGACTGGCATTTAAGCTGCAAAACAGTTTCGTTCAGCAGGACTTTTTTTTTTCCCCATTCCCTTTTTTTCCCTATTTCCAGAATGATTTTCACATAAAATAACCATTCTGAGATCTCACTTACTGCTAGGAATCAGTTTTAAGGAGCGAGTGCTCTCCAGGGGCACCTCAAGCGGCACTAGAAATCCCCCCCTACCATAAATGCGCAAGAGGACTCCAGGTGCTTAACGCTGTTCAGTCCAACTCCTAGCACCAAACTGAGTGGGGTCAAGGGGCTGCTGGGGTCCCCTTTTGTCTTTACAATTTGCCTTTTTGGATTAAATAATTATTTAAGAGACTGTTGTTTTGCTCCAGCTCCCTCTACCCATGCTTCCTACCTTTCTGCAGTTAAAATAAGAATGCTTTTTTTTCTAAGCTCTGTGGGAATAGAAATGTTGTTTTTGCAGAGTTACATTGTTTAGAGGAAAGGAATGTGGTACTGAGATATGCTTACAGTGATAAGAAAACTTAGCAGGCGACCTTGTAAAATGCAGACAACCAGACTCCTTAGAACAATTAGGTAAAAATCACAGTGTCAAGTCAGATAAGTGAAGAAACATTACCAATTCAAACAGTAAAAAAGTCAAAAGAAATTTGAAATTTAACAGGCCGGCGACTGAAGGCCATGCATTGTCTGTGAAGCATCAGATAGATTGTGAACCTGGATTACCCGCTCAGTGGGGAAACAGGGGAGGGTCCTGTCATCAAAAGGTATATAAACTGTGTTTTGGAGCTAGTAGGCAGGCTCTCCTGCTTGTGGGGTGCCCACCATTGCAATCGCGAATAAATTGCTACTTCACTGAGATTCTCGCCTGAGCCTAAGTTATTGGCTACGGAGTGTTTCTCACAATTTGGGGGCTCATCTGGGATCCAGTCACCTACTGGGGAGCCCCACCGTCACAGCAGCAGGAGGGCATGCCCCGCTGCTTTCAGCGGTCCTGTGCATCAACGGGGGTGGTTCTGTGGAGAGCTGACAGATGAACCAAGACTGATTAAAGAGGCAGGATCCGTGAAGTAGTGGGGAAAGGAAGAAGGTAGGCACTCCGGGTTTTTAAGAATTGATCCAGTAACTCTGTGCACAGACCAAGGTAAGAAGTATTAAGTATTGCCTTGGGGGTCGGGTGAGACTCTGTGATGTGTGATTGAGATGTACTTCTGTACAAAGCGAGTGTGGAGTCCTGATCCAAGGTTCTGTAGCTCTGCGAGGGGCACGGCCAGAGACGGACAAAGTGTGAGATGAGGGAGATAAAGGAAGAGTCTTAGAAAATTTGGTGTATGGTAAGCCCTTACACGGTGAAGTGCTTGGCAGTACACCAGGGAAATTTGGTGTATGGTAATCCTTGCACTGGGAAGTGATTGGAAGTACACCAGAGAAATTGGGTGTACGGTAATCCCTGCACGGTGAAGTGCTTGGCAGTACACGCCCATTTTCCAGAATCGGAACGTTATTGTGTGGTACCCTGCAGGAGGGAAATTTCTGTAGCAGCACACTGACAAGGGCTAGGAAAAAAGGGAAAATATGGGTTCCAGGTGTGATATATGGCATAATAATTCGTGTCAAGAAGATGGTTGATATTAATAAAGAAGGGGGAGATATGGGAGTGTGGCTATGGGGGTCGGAAAGCCCCATTGTTGATGATAATATTAGACTCTTAACGACGAGGCCATCAGGAATGTAAAAGAGTTAAGAGGGAACAAAGAAGGGTGATTCAGGAGACTCTATGCAGTCTCTGGTTTCTTGTTCTCCAGCTGTTAAGGCATGGAAGTTGCTTTTGAAAAGGACTGCTGTGGGGGGAAGGGTATAAGAGGGGAGTCTGTCCTTGTGATGAAAAAAAAAAAGGCAACACAATAAAATGAAGTTATGTCATCAATAAAGAAGCAGAAAGAAGGAATGAAAAGGAACAGGCTGGCAGAACAGAGACCAGGATGGGAACAGGAACATTGATTGCCTCATGAAGATAGGTTCGGCCAAACTCAGCAAACCGCTCAAAGAATCTCGTACACTAAGTCGCTCGTACAGAAAGTTGCTGGAAATGGGCACACTGGAGCTGGAGAGAAGCTCAAGCTGAGAGAAGCGAACCCATGCACACAACTGCCCCTCGCTGGTAAGCAGTTGCGCATTATGGGGAATCATACATCCTTAGAAAAAAAGACTGTCCTGGTAACCTTACAGCTCATTCTCCTTATTACCAATTGGACAGATTATGAGCCTGAAATATGGGACCAAACTGAGGTCAAGGTGTGGGACTCTGCAACTAAAAATGACAAGGTTGTGGTGGGATTGCTTGGCACCTGGCGAGCAATCTCTGAGGCCTTAAAGAGTCATATGGGACCACAGTCAGAAACGTGGCTTGCCAGACAAAGAGGGAGCCTTTACTTATCTGACTGCTATGCCATGGGCCCCTCTACTGCTACAGCCATCAAAGGCTTTTGCTGTTACGCCCCCTGTTGACCTGAACGTGCCTTTTAACCCAGGCCTTATTTGCCTTGAAAAGGAGATGGATATGCTTTTCTTAGTTCTGGGAAGAACAGGATACATAAGGCCTGAAGACCAAGTTGCTTGACAACTTAAAGCGAGACATATTGTTCGCACGACTAGCCCTGGAATTCTTTTGTGTTTGTAATCAAGAAAAGGAATGGAAATTGGAAACTGTTATAAGTCATGGAACTTAAAGGATTGTTTGTTACCTTTTCTGATTTTATAGGCATACTCGGGTTTAGTATGTAAAAGCAATGTTCTATATGTTTAGAATGTTTGATGTTTGTGTGTACTTGTTGGTGGAGCGTAGACTCCCCGCACACCCAGCGCTGTTTACTTGCCTTTTATACCTTTTATAAGTATAAATATTACTAATTCAGATTGAGTTGAGACTTCATTTATAACATTACTGTCACAAATACGTGGATGATCTTTTATTGTCAGGACAGGAGAAAACAGCTGTGAAGGAAGCTACTAACAAGCTATCCGGCTTTCTGGGAAAGCACTGCTTGGGAGTATTGAAAAATAAATTACAATATGGAGAAAGAGAAGTCAGGTATTTAAGGCATCTAATGTCTGAGGGAAAACAAAGAATAAATCCAGAAAGGATTCAGGGAATTGTTGAAAAATAAGAAAGAACTAAAAAGTTTAAGAGAAAGATTTTTTTAAGGAATCAGGAGCCATGAAGTCTGAAGGAAAATGGATACTCCCTGATGGGAGAGAAATGCTGAATAAAGCACCAATGAGGCAAATATTAACTGTTTTACATCAGAAGAGTCATTGGGAGGTGCAAGCAATGTGTGATGTTGTGCTAAGAAAGTATGTCTGTGTAGGAATATACACTTTAGGGAAGCAAATATGCAGAGGATGTACCATATGTCAAAAGGTAAATAAAAAGGTCTTCTGTAACCCATCTAGAGGGGGATGGGAGCCAGAGATTTGACCTTTCCAAAGTGTACAGGTAGACTTTACTGAGTTGTTTGTCCTAACTGACCACGTGATTGGATGGGTGTAAGCTTTACTGCAAGGGTTAAAGCAGGCCTTAGATATTGAGTGGGATTTTCACAGCCCCTGGCACCCCTCCCCTTCTGGGAAGGTGGAATGAATGAATCAGACATTAAAGAAGCAATTAACTAAACTAGTGTTAGAAACCCAACTTCCTTGGGTAAAATGCTTACTCCTACAGGTTCAAACAGCACCAAGAAAGGATATAGGAATTTCACCATATGAGATGCTGTTCAGATTGCCCTATTAGGGCAGAAGGGATGAAATACCACAATTCAAAACAAGAGAGTTTTCTTAAGAACTGTATTCTGGGGTTGTCCTCTCCTTTGTCATTTCTCAGGACCCATGGGCTGTTGGCTCAAACCCCACCTTTGGAATTCCCCATTCACCACCATCACCCAGGAAACCGGGTCCTGATTCGGACCTGGAAAGAATCAACTCCAGCCTGAATGGGAAGGACCATTACTAACCACTGAAACAGCCGTAAGAACTGCGGAAAAAGGTTGGACTCACTATACTTGAGTCAAGGCATCTGTCGACCCTAGTACCTGGGAAGCTGTTCCTACAGAAGACTTGTTGGAAGTTGAAATCAAAGAGAAAAATCTCATAGTGGACTCTGAGCAGGATAAAAGTTTACAACTGTAAACTACCCTTTTATTTTCACAGGTAATTAATGAGTGTGGCTTGCGAGTGAGAGAAAGGACTGGCCTATAGGGAAGTGCTCCCAAGGGGAGTTTGTTTTAGTAGTACATATATCTTATTCTTTGTATTAATAATTATCTGGAAACCTAAGGCTTAAAAATAATGACAGGGAAAGTTCAACTATTAATTTTGTTTCTAGTAATTGTAGGCCTCAGAGAAGGCCTTGGTCAATTAGCAACTTGGAAAAGGCATGACCAGATAATAGTAAGATGGGATACCCTGTCAAAATATGTGTGATTGTGTCAGAGGGTTATGTACCACAAGCCATCACGTTTGATGCTTGTGAGGTGTTAGCTTGTGGAGATTTAAATGCCCAACGACAATTGAGCAGAGAGAACCAATAACTGAGAGAGACCCAACAGCCAGATTGAGAATAGCTGTATGGAAACAATCCTCTATTGCCATCAGAGAAAGGGAGAAACTCAAGGAGAAAACAGGAGAGAAAACAGGAGGCCCTCTGAAATGTGGCAGTTCAAACAAGGTATGGGGATGTGAATGCCTGGATAGAATGGGTCAAATATACCATCCAGAGTCTCAACCGTAGCTACTGCTATGCTTGTGCCTCGGGATGACCGATTGTCCAGATAGTGCCCTTCCCATGGGGGTGGACCAAAGACTCCCAAGGGATGCGATATATGATTGCATTGTACCAAGAAAAGACTGCCTGGGGAAACGAGGCCTGTAAGTCTCTCTTTGCTGTTTCTTGCATGATAACAATATCGCGGTTCCCCCTGCATTCTCTTCAGCTATAGGTAACCATACAGCTTGCCTCTCACGGCAGGGTGTGAGTGCTACCCGGCATCTGGGAGAATTTGCCTTGTGCACCAGGACCTTGAATGCTACCAAGGACTTGATGGGAAACTGCTCAAGACTTGAGATCCCCAGGGCAGATCTCTGGTGGTACTGTGGAGGGAAGATCCTACGGTCCACCCTACCATCTAATTGGGGAGGCACTTGTGCACTTGTTCAATTAGCTATACCCTTCACCCTGGCATTTGAAAGAGAAACATCACAAATGCCCAGAAGAAGTGAAAGAGGCTTAGGAATATCATTCGATGACAGAGTATACATAGATTCTATTGGGGTACCTAGAGGAGTTCCTCATGAACAGGAAGCCAGGAATCAAATTGCTGCAGGGTTTGAGTCACTGTTCTGGTGGGTAACAATCAATAAGAATGTGGATTGGATTAATTATATCTATTATAATCAGCAGAGATTCATCAATTATACAAGGGATGCGATAAGAGGAATCACTGAACAACTAGATGCCACCAGCAAAATGGCTTGGGAAAACAATAGCATTAGAGATGATGCTTGCGGAGAAAAGAGGTGTGTATGTGATACTGAGCAACCACTGTTGCACTTTTATTCCCAACAATATTGCCCCAGATTGCACAGTAACTAGAGCATTGCAAGGGTTTACCACCCTTGCCAGTGAATTGGCAGAAAAATTAGGAACAGGCACTTCTACCACCAGACGGTTGGGATCTTGGTTTGGTAAATGGAAAGGGATGGTAGTGTCCATATTTACATCCTTGATCGTAGTAGCAGGAGTTTTGACAGCCATTGGTTGTTGCATTGTCCCCTGCGTAAGGGGACTTGTCAAGCGGTTAATTGAAACTGCACTATGGAAACAATTGACCATGGAGCCACCACCTTACTCAGATAAGATGATGATATTAGAGGAGATGGAAAGCAAAGAAAGTGAAGAGGAAGATATCTACCAAATTACACCTTAGAGAAAAGTTTTGCAAAAATCAACAGTTTATAAAGAAGAAAAGGGGGCAATTGTGGGAGTAGAAATGTTTTTTTTGCAGTTACATTGTTTAGAGGAAAGGAATGTGGTATTGAGATATGCTTGCAATGATAAGAAAGCTTAGCAGGCGACCTTGTAAAATGCAGACAGCCAGACTCCTTAGAACAATTAGGTGAAAATCACGGTGTCAAGTCAAGTCAGATAAGTGAAGAAACATTACCACTTCAAGCAGTAAAAATGGCAAAAGGAAATTGAAATTTAACAGGCCTGCAACTGAAGGCCATGCATTGTTTGTGAAGCATCAGATAGATTGTGAACCTGGATTACCCGCTCAGTGGGGAAACAGGGGAGGGTCCTGTCATCAAAAAGTATATAAACTGTGTTTTGGAACTAGTAGAGGCGCTCTCTCCTGCTTGTGGGGCGCCCGCCATTGCAATCGCGAATAAATTGCTACTTCACTGAGATTCTCGCCTGAGCCTAAGTTATTGGCTACAGAGTGTTTCTCACAGCTATGACAGGCAGTTCTACCAAGGATGGAAGTGTTTAGGGGGGACCTGGGCAGCTCTGTATACTCACCTCCCTTTCCATTTTATTTCATTCACAACTGCTTAGGGCTGAAGCAGACCCACATCTCCTCCTGCATGCTGCCATACTGACCCAGATTGAAGGCTTTTAAGTAAATCCTTGTGTTTTGTCCTAATCCAGCTCTCCTCCTGGAACATCACCCTGGTCCCCTGCAAAGCCTCACACTCAGCTATTTGCTCTGGGCTGTTCCTCACCCCGTATCTCCCAGAACCAGCTCAAGGCAGTTCCTTTTACTATCACTCTTTGACATCTACAGGAAGGGCAGCAATGCCCTAAACACTTCTATTTATTGTGGTAATCTGAACCGAAGAGAAGAAGTACATCTGGCATGATCCCCACAGCTCTGCAGTGGACTGGCTGCACACATTTACAATGGCTGCAGCTCTGACTCGACACAGTGCAATGCCCATCTCCATCCTCCAGCCACCTCCTTGCAGGGCTGGCTGAGCCAGAGGCCGTGTTTTGGGCTGCACGCAGCCTGTAGCAAAGGCTGGGCTTATGGGATGAAGACAGGCACTTTCAGGAGGGCTACAGTTTGCATTTTGCAGCCCAATGTGCTGTAATGCTATGGTTTGCATTTTGCAGCCCCACCAGGTATCAGTGTGGAGCTTCAGGCCTTTGCTCTGCAGGGGTCTCATGCCTTTTAGGGAAAAGGCATTTCCCCTTTCCTTAGGGAAAAAAAATTTTCCCTAAATCACAAAATTGTCTTTTAAATTGTGTATGGTGAAAAAAGGAGGGAGCCCCAGTGACTGCTAGCCGCAGACTGGTCTGGTTTTCCTCCTGGCTTTCGACATCCAGCTCACAGCAGCAACACACCAGTACTGTAAGGGATTACTCAAACTCCCCTCACCTCTGTCACTCGGTCCTATTTATCTCTGCAAGACTGCTGTACTTAAACTGAAGAAACTGTAAAGCCCTCAATGGCGACATGAGAGCAAGCAAAACCAGACAGAGGATGATGATGAAATGCTACGCCATAACTATCTGAATAGCAGAAATAACAGGTTAAATTGGAAAACAGAGTTTTGCTGGAGCCCCAAAGGATGCATAGGAGGACCCTTTTTAAGACTTGCTCGCTGCCCACAGACAATTTCTGGGCTGTCTGAGCAAGCTTTTATCAGTTGCTCTGTAAAACTGAGGGAAAACAACACAAGCACAGAGATAACTGCACCATGGCTCCTTGCAGGCTGTTAGCAAGTTGAGGAGCGGTGGCTCGAGTCATCTGCTTGGAGATTTGGGGACACATCCTGCCTGCCATTGCAGTCTCTGCAAGACTTCCCCCCAAAATGAGGCCACAACGAGGCATTGCAACTGAGGCTCTGAGAAACCACTGTCCTCCTCCTGTTCAATAACACCAATCCTGCCAACTCCTGGGTTTAGAAATGCTTTACTGCCCTGGCTTTGTTGTCTCTGCCACAGCAGAAGAAAGCTGCATGTGTAACTGATTCCTTCATTCACAGCTTATTTTCACATTTAACCACAGTCAGGATTCCTATCAAGGACTCTAGATGCCCTCATCTAGAGCCCTAGAGTCACTCAGCTGCCTGCCTATTTAGCACATCCCCTTGTTCATGCAGAACGGCATCCGAGGCTTGCTGCAAACCCCTCTCAACCCATTTTGCAGCAAACCCTGAAAGTCAGCAGATTTTGCTTTTCTATGGAAAGAGAGGAAGCAAGTCACAGGGACTCAAAGCCTTTACAGATAATGTCTTGCCAACTGCTTCTTCTAAGGAAAGTGGAGGGATCTGGCTATGCTGGAATATTTAAGAGGAAGAAGAGGTCTGGAGCAATACAAGATATACCCCAAATTTCAAAGACAAACTGGAAGGATGGACAGACAGCATTTTCAGGACATTAGTGCTCCAATAACAGTTTTTGCATTAATTCAATGGTGACAGCTGCTAAAGAGCAATATTGTTCAAAGACACTCCATGAGACAGTGGGGGAAGATGTGCAATGAAGAAGAGAAGGCTAAAAAAAAAAACATTAAAGAGATGTTTCATCTACCTCCGGTCGTTTCTCCTCCTTCTGAACAGCTTTTTGGTGTGTGCGATTTCATCTTCATGAGGCAATGGATGGTAACCCTGTAACAGAGGGAAAAGCAACCATCAGTTCCACGATACAGGAGGCATCGATATATAGGTGCTCAGAGTGAGACAGAGCTGTGTGCTAAGCGCATGAGGCTGATTCAAGAAAATGTTCCCATCTGTACATCCTTACAAAACACAAACCAGGACAATGCTGAATCATTGGGATTAGAAATTAGAGAGCGATTGATTAAGAATGAATAGGTGCTATATTTGCAATGTGCTGCGCCTGTGCTGCGCTTAGGCCTCCAGATAACAGGAGCCCCTCAGACCCCAAGAACCAGATCAAAACAACCTTATGGTTCAGACTTTAACCAAGGCGTCAGAGATAAGGAGGACTGTTTACAAAGGGACAAGATAATGTTAAACATACAAGGCCTCGAGATAACAGGAGCCCCTCAGACCCCAAGAACCAGATCAAAACAACCTTATGGCCCAGATTGTGACCAAGGCCTCAGAGAGCATGTGCAAAGAGATGAGGTGAAAAGTTCAACCCTGATGAAGACATCTTATTTCATCCCCACAACCCTCAGCGCCCACCACCTCAAGGCACTGAGCAAGCGCAGACAAGAGGAATTTATGGAAATGACTTATTGTAGCCAATTTTAATACTAAGCGGGGACAGGTTATGCATATGTATAGGCATATTGGGAAACTTCATATATATGTAACTCTTTACTGCATACATGTATAACCACGGCCTTGAAGCTTGAAGCCGCGTTAGGTGCGCATGACTTTGGTGGGACTACCCCCCATGCTGCCCAGCGCTGAGTAAACATACCTACTTTACAATCTTACTGATTGTGGAGTCAGCTTTCTGTGAGTCATTTTGGTGAGCCAGGCAGGAGACACTCTGCTTGGCTGCGGGATCAGCTGCGGAGCGGACGCCCCTAGGTGCACCCTGAGTATTTTGCTCGGAGGGGACTCCACTCTCAGCTGCTCACCACAGGAGCAGACAAGGACCTCCTGAAGCTGCAGACAAACGGTATGTTTTACATTACAGCAGGGGTCTGTAAGTCGTACGCATGGCCGGGGCAGCTGGTAAATCGTGCAGAGACGTCTGGCATGCAGCATAGTCCCTGTAAGGGAGGAGGGTACCCTACAGGCTGACCGATAGAGTCGTCAAGGGGGATTTGCTGACCGATAGAGTGGCTGCTAGCGATCTTGGGAGTAGATCGAGCAAATCCGAGGTTACCGCTGCATCCCGGTTTTGGGAGCCAGGACGGACCTGCTAATGACTGTATAAGAAGCAGGAGAAGGGTAAGCGGGCCTCTCACAATTGTGACAAGGTTATCTGGGTAATATTTTCAGCTGCTGGAGGAATACTAACTGGAGTGTTAATAACTGTATGTCTTATTCTTAAATGTCCAGGTATTTTGTGTTGAAAGTATTTGTGTAAAGTGTAAGGGTTTGAAACAAAGTGGAATAAGTCACTCCACGAAGAACACAGTCAGAGACAATACTTTTTTGGTTGGTTATCATTCTAAATTATATTCTTGTGATATGAATGAAATGTGCTAGGGGACTCTCTGTGTGATTGCGTGATTGTGCTGTGTGAGTCAGATGCAGCGTCGCTGCAAAGTGAGTGCAGAGTTCCGATCTGTGGTTCCGTATTCTCTGCAAGGGGAGTGGCCAGAGACGAACGAAGTGTGTGACAGACCAAAAAGAAGTGCTGTTTTATCCAAGTTTTTATTGGTGGTGCCCAATATATGGGCCTGGCGGTGTATCTTGTGATCCTATTTTTGCTCTTAAATGCTTTGAGTGTGACAAGAAAAAGCATTATCTAAGTAACTAACAGTTTAGAAGTGTTGGTGTATTTGCTGTGGTGTTTGGTCAGTTTCCCAAGTACTGGAGAGGGGGAGGGGGCTGACTGATTATCAAAGCGGTAGAACAGAGAGAGTCATTTCTTTGGTGGTTTGGCCTTGAGCCCCGGGAATTTGTTAAGAAGGGGGAGAGCGAATTTATTTAGGTCTCAGTACCCTTTTAAACCCCCATATTGACGGATACACAGGAGTGATTCCTTGTTTTGTATGGGCTTACTAACAAAGTGCATGAGAAAAATTGGCATTCGGCTGAAATTCAGTCCTGTTGAAATGTAAATTTTGTGGAAAAGGTGGTAATGTTTGTCTAGAAGACAGAAGGCTGAGTGCTTCAGGTGTTTTCCCGAAGTCCCTTGGATTTGTGATTGGAATGAGGCTCATTAATAATCTGAAATAGTTAAGTTTGTATGTGGGAAGAAGCGTTTAATCCCAGAGAACTGGGACATTTGGGAAGAAGATTAGGAAAAGATAGTAAAAACCTGCAGTAAAAAGGTTTGTGAAACAAGGGGCAGTAACTAGTAGGGATTAGTAATAAATAAATAAATACAAGGGAATGGGAAATCAAGGAAATAAGTAATAACCAAAACAAAGATGTTTTAAATAAAGCCTCCTTGGGTGCATATCGGCACATTCGAAGGGTATTGTTAGAACTGGGGGCACAGATAGCGAGAGGACTTTCACTAAGTATTGCAATCAGTGGTGGCCGCTATATAAGCTTAAATGGCCATTTTATGGATCAATCGTCTATAACACTATCTTGCAATTAATGTTTTTGAGGAGAGAAGGAAAATGGGATGAAATGTTGTATAGCATCTGGGAGGGAAAAGGTATGGAATTAAGTTGGCCCCTGACTGAGCCTTTGGTTCTGGCATTAGAAAAGTACAGGCTGGAGAAAGATAAAGGAAGTGTTAAAAGGGTTGCTGAAGGTGTTAAAGGTGTGGCATGTAGTATTTGACAGAGCTGTCTGAAGTTGAATGAGCAGGGAAAGAGGATGTAGGAACGTTAATAGTTCTGTCTCAACCCGAGGCTGAGATCTCAAAATCACGGGTGTGAGCCCTCTGGGGCAGAGGGACCATGATGGGTCCGAGAGAGTTGTCATGGAAACAGAAAAGCAGCTAACTCTTAAAACAACCTGATTTCATGTGTGAGCTCAGCGGTCCCATTGGCAATCTCAGGGAACTTTCGAAGAGAAAATAATAATAATAAAAAATATATAAATAAAAAAATTTTGAACTTGCTTTCAGAAAACAAACAGAGTTAATTGATTAGCCTCTTTCTAGGGCAATCAGCCCCTGATACCGGAAATAAATTGTCTTAGGTTGCAGGATAAACTTACAACAGTCAGGAATGATGGGGACCTGGGGCATCTAGCCTAGCAGGTCCACTGGTTGAAATAAAGCTAGGGAATGAAAAAGTGAGGCTTGAATTTTTTGTTGGTTATGGGAGTTTATTTTCTGTGTTAATTAGTCTGTAAATGTAAATTCAATAGGAGCAACTGTCCAACAGGAAAAGGTATTTTTCTTTTTTTTTTTTCAATGCTTGAAATTTAAATTGGGAAAAATGATTGGAATTACAAACTGAGAAAAACAGTCAAGTTTGGTGCATGGTACTAGATTTAAAGGATGCCTTTTTCTGCCTGCCCGTGGCAACTGAAAACCAGAAACTCTTTGCCTTTGAGTGGGAAAATAATAATAGAGGATGGAAAACTCAGCTTACTTGGACAGTGTTACCACAGGGGTTCAAGAATAGCCCCACCATATTCAGGAACTGTGATCTTGAAGCCTGAAAGACCCCTTCCGGAAAAGGGGATACTGTTGCAATATGCAAATGATAGTTACTGAAGAAGAAAAGGAATGTGTATAATGGACTGTGAGTTCACTACATTTTTTCGGCACTAATACTGTGAACCCAGGCTCTTTCCTTAGTAACAGAGTTTCCAGATCACCCATTCATGATTGTATCAAGACCACGGACATGGTATACTCCTCCTGACCAGACTTAAAGGAAACACCCCTAGAAGATGCGGAGGATTGGTATATAGATGTCAGCAGCTTCATCTGCCAGGGATTTCACCTCACAGGATATGCGGTAACAAACATCAGCCCAAAAGGTGGAAATCATCACCTTGATAAGAGCTCTTGAGCTGGCAAACATTTGGACAGATTTGAAATATGCCTTTGGTGTGGTGCATGTACACGGGGCAATTTGGAAGGAGAGAGGACTGTTATCTTCCTCAATTAAACATGCAGAAGAGGCTGATAGCAGTTATTAGAGAAGAAGGAAAAAGAAGGCCCAGACAGGAGCAGCCCCGACTAGGCAAGGATCAATGTGCCCTATGTAAGAAACTTGGGCATTGGAAAAACGAATGCCCAGAACGGAAAAGAAATGGAAAAGGGAACCGGAGAAGGGAGGTGATGGTCGTGCGTGCAAAAGATGACTGAAGAGGACTGGGGGAATCTACCCCAGCAGATCCGCTGGTTATAAAAATGAAGCTGGGGAAGGAGGAAAAAGAGGTGGAACTTATCAGTTTTAAATAAAGCATTAGTATCAGTGGGGAATTATTACATTGTAGTAAAGGGGGCAACTGGCCAATCTGAAATAGCATATTTCTGCAAACCATTGAAATATAAATATGGGAAACAGTGGGGCATTCACAAGTTCCTATACATGCCCAACTCCCTGGAGTCACTCCTAGGGAGAGATTTATTGGAAAGATTACAAGCAACCATTTCATTTAAAAATGGGGAGATTATTCTGGAGGTAAATGATCAAAGATATGTGGAAGTGTTCAGTTTGATATTGACAGCTATTGAGACCAAAGAGGAAATTAGTGAGGAAATCCTAAGTCAAGTGTTTTCCAGAGTATGATCTTCTAATGTACCAGGGAAAGCGAAGAATGCACTTAAACAGTACCCCTTGAAAAAGGAAGATAGAGAAGGAATTAGCCCGATAATTGATTAACATGCTTAACACCAGAGCTAACCTGGTTTACCATTTTAGACCTGAAGGATGCCTTCTTTTGCCTCCCTCTCCATGAAGCCAGCCAGAAAATCTTTGCATTTGATTAAAAAGGCCCTAAGAGTGGGCGCAAAACACAGCTCACACTGACAAGGTTGCCTCAGGGCTTTAAGAACTCACCCACCTTGTTCGGAGAACAACTTGCAAAGGACTTGGAGA